GAAATGCTTGCAATATTCGGTGGGGTTTCGAGAGAACCCAATAGAAAGTAGACGGCGAAAGGGTAATCCGGTACGGCATTCTGGCCAATTTTCCTTGGAATTGAGTCAGGGTGAATCCTAACGCCAAAGTACTCGTTGAAAGTACTCAAAGCCAACTTAACTGTCGACATTCTATGAGCTCTGACAGACAACGGTAAAATAACCTATGAGATTGGCAAAAGGCTGCTAAGGCGTCGAAGAATGTCGTAGGAGCTATCGAGGGAACACTAGACGACGAGAAAAAAATGCAGAATAATGACATAAAATATACAACCGCGAAGGGGAGCATACCACGATGGGAAGCAACAAGACGGGAAAAGGCTGACTCCCAAAGCACGACGTGATCCGAGAGGGAGCACTCGCTGCAGATGCAAGGGGAAGAAACATACTACACGGCAGTGTCCATCGCGTAACGTGGCATAGCGGAGAACTGGAGAAATATGTAGGAAGTGTGGAGGCGTGAGTCACTGCGCTAGACTACTGTCCAACATATGCCCGAAGAAACATAGAGACAACGGAAAAGACAAATAGAGAGCCAACGCGTTCTGGCAGCGATGGAACTAATTGTTCAAACGGGAGAGCCTAGGCGTTAGGGGAGACGGACTTACTAGGCAGTTTAATCGTGGTAAAGGGGTTATGTGCGCAGTGGCGACAGGAACTAATGTCATTCCAGTCTCGCCCGAGTGGGAAAGGAAGCTGATACGTGTGAGGAGTATGCATGAGGCAGGGCCTGAGGAGCCAGAGGTGTGCCAGCCGCAATTAGTGGAGCAGAGTGGGACGGTGGCCGCAGGGGAACAAGAAGAATAGACAGGGTGTAGACTGCAAAGCAGCGGCAAAGGGCATCCAGCTGGGGCAGAAGACGTTGATGGGCAAGCGGTGCAGCAGGTGCAGTCGCCGTGGTGGCGGGAGGTCTGTGCAAGAGACGATCCAACCAAAAAGGGTGTATTGTGTAGCGTGGGATCTACAGTAGTCCTACAAGTAGACGTAGCAGGGGGTCAATGCGAAGCGCCCTCAGATACAGGGGATCCGAAAAGTTATAATATTCCTCAGACAGTAGACCGCTTAGAGCTTAAGGTGCAGCGATTGGCAGAGGCGCGTACGTTCATGATACCGGAGAACAGCTGCATATGTATCGTGTACGTTCATGTCAACGGAGAACAGTTGCATATGTATCGTGCCGTACAGCGATTAACGATGTGGTGCGGTTAAGTACGTTTCCTAGGAGATTTCTTAGTAGGCCCTGTTCCTTATGATGTAGAACTGCGACTGGACTGGTTGACTGAGCACAATGTTGCTTGGTATTTTCAGTCGGATGAGCTCAGAACGTGTGTGAATGGCAAATTGTGTGAGCTACCTGTAGTCCGAATTGGCGCAGAGAAGCCCAGGAGCAGCAACACTACAGAAGTGCGTACGAAGACCCCCGCAGAGCAGGCATATGACCTAGTAGCCAAGCAGGTAGCATGAACTGGGAGCGGGGTGCAGCACTACTACACCCACCACCTGAGAGATACAATTTCCATACGTAAAGTATAAACTTTGACATCCCCCCATATCTCTGCTGCTTTTTGCCCCTATGCTGCTTCGCGTCTGTTGTTTGAAACAGCAGTTAAGGTTTGGCTGTTCATGCAGAAGGGCGAGCTTCGTAGCCAGAGGCCAATACCGGTGGCTTGGTTTGCAAGCTGCTGTGTACACTATCTGAAGAGGAAGCGGGATAACTTGCTGAGGAGCTAGAGGGAT